GTTATGGTGTTTTGTCTTTGCACGGCAGCACTGCTGTCACTATAGACGGGCATGGTTTCAGCAACTAGCGCCTCAGCTTCGCCTTCAGTGACGCGCTGCCAAGATGGCGGTGGTCGGCTCCGCCCACTTTAGGCTTCAAAAATGCTCTTCTGAACCCTACAAGTGACGTCACGGACACTACGTCCATGTTTTTTTACAGTCTATGATCAAAACAATAAAAGTTTAACACCGCTGTAATTTTTTTCCCCTGTCATTAGAATGCGTCTTGTTTATTTTTTAGTAAATCATGGTAAAAATGTATTGTCTATCATATATATTTACCATGATTTACTAAATTGTCATTCAGTGTAACAAAAGTTTATATACCAAAAGTCTTGTCAGGCATATTTAGAACAAGAATCATTAGATCATTTTAAAATAAACTATTTAAGGATCACAGTGCAGCCCCCAAAATACTAATTAATTGTAATTTTAAATATTTACCAATCTTTACCACTATCCTTCTAACAACTAGGTTTTACCAATGTCAGCAAGAAGTTTTTAATAATTAAAATAAAATTATTATTATTTTTTTTTTGTATGACTGCTAATTCTTTTTATGTTTTAATAAGTTCAGGCCAGAATAAATATGTTGCTTCATTTTTACACCTATATATGCATTATGTTGAATGATGATGGAACATTATTTCACCCATATTTTGACATTTTAATTTCACAAAGAAAACATTATGAACATTAAAGAACACAACTTACTCACATTTAATATGCTTTCTATGTATATAAATTCACTTCTCTAATTTAATTTGAAGGGAACACCAAAATGGGACGTCTCGTTTTTGACCAACGTCTGTTCTGTTTTAGTTATGAATTAGATTTTTTATTTGCATGGGATTTAGGGGAAAATGTAGTTGAAATTGCCATGAAGTAAAAATCATAATGAATAAAAAATGCACACAGTAACAGTTTGTTGTGTAAATCGAAATTCCCTTACGAAAACTAACCATGGTTTTATTATAGTAAAAGTGTAGTAACCATGCTTTTGTGGTTTTATTTGTAGTAAAACCATGGTTCATTCCGTAAGGGTTCATTTCTTGTGTCAAATATTTTTTTTTTTTAAACATGTTTTAGTTTTATTATGTTTACCCCCGTTTTTTTGTTTTGTTTAGTAGATGCTTTAACAGAAATACAACTCTCACGTGTTTTGCTTTTACGGGGCTGTTAGCAAACACTCGCCAGATGTGTCACCTAAAAAAGGGCATAAAAACCAGAACAAACCCTAATATATTAAGCTCCAAGAGTCTGGACATTTTTTCGTAATTAATTAAATCGCATTAACGTAATTATTCTAATACTAAAACTGTGTTTTCAGACCATCACACCTCATTGGATGTAGCTTCTTCCGGCGACGTGCAAGCGCTCCGCCAAATTGTTCGAGCCGTTTCCCCTGCTGCAGCAGCAAGCACGAGCCACTGAGGCGAGGTGTTACATTTCAAATGTAATGTGTGGTAGGTGTTACAACCGAAAACACCGTGTACATCTCTTTAAAGGGGTCATATGATGCTTTTTTAAAGATCATTATTTTGTGTATTTGGTGTAACAGAATGTTGACATGCTTT